TTTGATATTTAGCCCAAGTTTTTCCCAGCCCTTTTCTCTGTCAAAAGAGCCCCTCAAAGCCTCTTGAACAACTCGCACCCAGGCCAGGTTAGCTCCCACATCAAGGCCACATTTGCAGCAAAACCCCAGGGCACCAGTCACACTACAGGGAGGTGAGAGAAGGAGTTGCTGTGGGGGCAGCCCCAGACAAAAGCCCCCACCCTCATGCCCCGAGTACTCCCCCCTTGGGGACATCCAGGGCTTTTTCTGGGGGCAGAAACTTTTAGATTCAGATTCAAGTCTATAATAAGGCAAGAAAGATTTTTTTTTTTTTCATGGCACAAACAGCAAAGGCAGACAGCTTTTTCTTTTTGCGGGGGAGGTGGTAGTGGCCACACCCAGGTGTTCAAGGCTTACTCCTGGCTCTGTGCTCCTGGGTCATTCATTCCTGGTGGTGCTGGGGACAGAACCCAGGTCAGCTGTGTGCAAGGCAAGTGCCAAGTCCACTGTATCGTCTCTCCAGCCTCAGCTTTTCTTACAAAGTCCTTAAACCCTATCTCCCCTCTCAAAGGCTCAAAGTGCTGGCCGAAATTCTAGTAGCTGAAGTTGGGTGGTCATCTGGTTGGGACCAAAAAAGGACTGAGGCATAAGACCAGAAGTGGACTCTTTTTTGCATTGATAAAGAGGAGTTCCAAACACTGTTCGGTCCTAAATTTCTCTAAAGTGAGAGTAGTGGGGCTGGAGCGATAGCACAGCGGGTAGGGCATTTGCCTTGCACACGGCCGACCCAGGTTCGATTCCCAGCATCCCATATGGTCCCCTGCCAGGGATAATTCCTGAGCGCAGAGCCAGGAGTGACCCCTTGCACAGGTGTGACCCAAAAAGCAAAAATAAATAAATAAATAAATAAAGTGGGAGTAGTGGGGAGGAAGAATCTCAAGGGAACTGTCTTAAGATGGAAGCTTCACAACTTTTCATTTCACAACACAGCTAGAAAAGACCATTCGCAGGACTAGGGGTAGAAGGTAGAAGCTGATCCCAGCTAGAGGGGGCTAACTGGGAAGATAACACCCCCAAAGAGGAGGAGCTCAGTAGACGAGCTCAGTAGACTCCCTGCCATAAAGAAAGCTCTGAATTAAGGCAATCAGTTGGGTTAGGATTTTCCTTGCCCACTGCAGCAGTACTGGGGGTGTGAGGGGGACCACCCGCCTCTCTTGCATTCAAGCTTGTCCTCCTGCCTCTGAGCCCTCTCTTAGGGTTATGACTTCCGGGATCAATGTCCTGAATAAACCTCGTCATGGCCTCGAACTTCGAAGTCTCTAACTTTAGCTTACAGGACTGTAGGTCGGAGAGCTGGAACCCATGGTCTTGACTCAGCATGACTCAACTTCCCCAGCTAAGGTGCTTTTCAAGGGGGTTTCCACAGATACACGAGCAGGGAAGCCCTCCTTACAGCAGCAGGCATAGTCTGGGCCTGGATATAGAGAATGGTGTCACCACTGTCATCGAATTTCTTCAAAAGCTTTTTTACTTTTGTAGAACTAGGGACGGAACCCAAGTTCTCACACTTGCAATACAAGTGCTCTACCGCTGAGTTTCATCCCCAGCCCAGATTTCTAACCTTAAAATCCTTTATTAAGTGATCTCAAATCTGTATTACTGCAGAGATTCCGATCCAAAAGCTACCATTCACTGAGCTTATAGTAGACACAAAACTGAGTTGTTTTTGTTTGGGGTTTTTTTGGTTTTTGTTTTCTTTTTTTTTTTCAGCTTTGGGCCACACCTAACAGTGCTCAGGGCTTACTCCTGGGTCTCCTGGACAGCTTGGGGGACCCTGGGGTGCTGGGGAACGAACCCAGGTCAGCCTCATGCAAGATAAATGTCTTTCCCACTGTACTGTCTCTCCAACCCCAAACAGCTAAATTCTTGACTTTCAGGTTCCTAAAATCCATACAACTTCACATGATGAATACTATTATTTTACCCATTGATAAGAGATTAAGTAGCTTAAAGTATCGTTTGGGGGTTGAGGGTCACACCCCACAGTGCTCAGGGTTTTCTCCCAGTGGTGTCAGGGGACTCTCTCACACATAAAGCATTTACTCAACCATCTGAATTCTCTTAGGCTCCAAAGGTTACTTTTCTAATTCAAGAATGTGGAGAAGGGCTAGAGTGAGAGCACAGTGGGTAGGGCGTTTGCCTTGCATTCACCAGTCTGGGTTCAATCGCTGGCATCCCATATGGTCCCCCCGAACACCGCCAGAAGTTAATTTCTGAATGCAGAGCCAGGAGTAACCGCTGAGCATGCCGAGTGTGACCCAAAAAGTTAAAAAAAACCTATGGAGAAACGGTAATTGAACCTACATTTGACTTGAAAGATCCTATGTTCACCTTAACACAAGTTCTCAACAAATCTTCCAAATAGCTTTATCCATAAACCAAATAAACCACAATGAAGTCAACAATAGCACTGTAGCACTGTCCTCCCGTTGCTCGTCGATTTGCTCAAGTGGACACCAGTAATATCTCCTCTGTGAGACTTGTTACTGTGTTTGGCATATCAAATCCATCACAGGTAGCTTGCCAGGCTTTGCCGTGTGGGCGAGATATTCTCGGTAGCTTGCCAGGCTCTCCGAGAGGGGCAGAGGAATCGAACTCGGGTTGGCCAGGTCGGCCGCGTGCAAGGCCAACGCCCTACCCACTGTGCCATTGCTCCAGCCAACAACATGGGAAAGAAAAAGATGAGACAGGAACAGCTTGTCTCTTTTTCACAACAACAGCAACAAAAAGTTCAGCTATCTATACCGTGTACCCAGTGGGTGTCGAGCAAGGCACAGCTAATACGTGGCTCACACAGCTACCTCAAAAGGCATTTGATAGCACCATTTTATAGGTGAGGATATCTAGCCTCAAAGAGCTGAAAACAGAGCCCTTCCTTTTTCTACGACTCTCAGCGTCTCCCGAACTCTTCAGGAAGTACACCTGAGCCTGTTTCAGGGTAAAGACCCAGCGGTCAGCATGTTTCCAAAGGCTAGTTTGAAGAGGATGGTCAGGAGCAAAGCAAAGAAGGATCTGTAAGAGCCCTCAGAGATGGCCCCAGCACAGTTAAAAGAATGTGGAAGTTTTGTGGCTGTGGCTTAGCAGTAGAGCGTTTGATCCACATGTGTGAAGCCCTGGCGCCACCAAAAACAACAACTCAACAACAAACAGTCCCCCAAGAAGAACTCAAATCCCTAAGAAAGCATCATTTCCCAGTGTTGGAAAAGTAAGGTAAAAGTCCCCTCTTCTCCTAGGACAGCTATCAGCCGACTAGCCCTGACCTGCCCTGTTCCAAACCCCCTGCCACAGCTCAGAGAAATAAGACCAAAACAAAAGCCATGAGGAAACAAATCAAAACTTTATACAGAAAGGCTTGCAAGTGGGTGGTCCAGTTCCTGGCCTGACCAGGGCACTCTGGGTGCTCTGGCTAGGAATCAGGACACCACGTGCATTTTTGAGTCATTATTCTGCCAACTGAACAATCTGGACGACTCAGCTCCAGTAAGGGCATGACAGACTCTGGTTCTGAGCTCTTCTGAGGAGCCTACCAGCCCTGTCAGGGGTCCCTCATCCCATCCACTTCAGACCATACCCTTCTTTCCGATTTCTATAGCTATACCTCATGCCAGCTCTTTGGGGGTTTTTACACCCCCTCGTGAGTGCAGATTCCCTCCCACTCTCTTCCCCAACAGTTGAGCTCTTGTTCTCAAGGGTCCCAGGTCCCAGTCTCTCTTCCTGAGCCTCTGAAATGACCACAGAACATTCGTAATCACTGACTCACCCCTTTCCCCAAGAGGGCTTTGGGAAATGCAGAGAGCCACAGGATATGTGGCCCAGATGCCCCTGGCCCTTGGCAGGCAGAGGTGCCAGCAACACCGCTTCCAAGCCTGCCTGGGAACTCTGTGGACCCACTGTGCCAGTGGGCCAGTACCCAGCCCTGCACAACTGGAGAGGCCAGGATCTCTAGACAGCTCCCCTGATGCCAATAGATCTAATCTCCCTATTCCAAGGCAGATGAAATCCAATAAGGCTGCTAAGTCCACAATGTATCCCTCCTCAGCAGCAAAGGCAGTCTAGTCTGCCTTCCGGGCCTTACCAAGAGCAACAACGAAATGGACACTGTTTTTTTTTTTTTTTGCAAGTTCCTGGAGGAACCAGAATTCCCCAATTTTCTCAAAGATTCACTCCTCTGTTCCTTTCCCTCGTTCACTCTCTCCGCAACCTTCGGCTCCAAGGGTATTCTCAGCCTCGATCCCAGTGATACCAGCCTGGACATCCATCGGTGGTCAATGCCCAGCAAAGGGAAACCCGGGTCAGCTCGGAAAAAGCTCATGCCTGTGGGACTGCAAGACGGAAGGGAAGCGCGGGCACAGGGCACGAAGCACCAACCACCAAGCCCCGCGCGCGTTCCTCGGCGTATTGTTTCCATCGGAAAAATGCAGCGGCGAAAAAAGGGGCTGCCCACATGTCCGGCCCTTAGAGGCAAACCCCCTCCGAGCCTGCCTGCAGGACAACTTCGCAGGCGCTTCCGAAAAGCGGTGGCCCGGCTCGCTCCCGCCCCACCCCGCCCCCTTCCGAGGCCGCCAGCCCCCTCCCCACGCCCCTCCTCCGCTCCGCACATCTGGTCGCGGCTGGGGCCGGACCGACCCCCGGGGCAGCCTCCTCGTTAAGCGGGCGGCGGTCTCGGGTGGCCCCCGGGCCTCGGCCCTCGCCCCCCACCCACCCACCCACCCACCGCGCTTCGACCCGGCGGGCAGGGCCCGGGGCACCGCGCGGCGGCGGAGAGGCCAGCAGCAGGGGGGGCGGCCCGGACCCTGGGCCGACCCCCGACGTCCCGCGGCTGCTGCGAGTCGATCGGGGGTCCCGGCCGGGCGGCGCCCTGGAGGCCCGGGGCTGCCCGTCGGGGGCGCGGGGCCCAGCTGCGAGAGCCCGCGCCGAGTCCCACCCGGGGGGCGCGCGAAGGGGGCCGGGGCGGCTCTCACCAGCACCAGCGCGAACCTCTCCTCCAGCTCGCAGGGCTCCGGCATCGGCTTCTTGCCCGGCGGCGGCAGCAGCGACACGGAGGGCGGCTCGCCCGGGCCCCCCTCGGCGCTCTCCAGGTTGCCCATCGCGGCGGCGGCCCCCTCGGGGGCCGGAGCCCCCCGCCTCCACGCCCGGGGGCCTCGGGGCCGCCGGCTCCCAGGCGGCTCCTCCCGCAGCGCCGCCGCGGCCCCCGGCTCCGACTCCGCAGCGGCCGCGTCGGCGCCGGCAGACGCCGTGGCGCGCTCAGGGCGGATGCAGCGCCCGGCGGCTCCGAAGCGCGCGGCTCGGCGGCCCGACTCCGGCCCGCGCCCGCGCCCGCCGCCGCCCCCGGCGCGCCGCCCCTGCGTCCCGGCTCCCCGCGCCCACGGCAGCCGCCGCGCGCCGCGTTTATGTAAGCCCCGCCCCGCTCCCAGAGGCCTCCGGGCCGCGGCCCCGCCCCCCGCGGCTCCCGGACGCCCCCGGCTGCTCGCGGGGCGCCCCCCGCCCCGGCCTCGCGCGCCCCGAGCCGGGCTTGGAGCGCGCCCTGGTGGTCCCCGGCGCGCCGGGAGGCTCGCGGGTGGGTACCCAGCCGGGCGCTGGGGCTCGGGGCCGCGAGCATCTCTTGGTTTGTGTCCTGCCCTCTGGGCCACACCCAGTGATGCTCAGGGCTCGCTCCTGGAGGGTGAGGCTCTGCCCGGGTTCGATCCCCCTGTAGGAGTCCCCTGACCCTGCTCAGGTGTCCCAAATACCAGTAACGGGCCCAAATACCAATACATGGGCCTGCTCAGGTGTCCCAAATACCAGTAATCCCGTTCCAAGCAAACGGAAGGTAGGTGAGGATGTGGAACTCGGGCAGCAGTGGTGGTGGGCATCTGTCTTTTCTACAGCATCGCCTCAGCCCCTCTGCTTTAAGTGATAGTTTCCCCATTTCGTTTGACAAAATGAATCATCAGTCCACATCACTTTCTTGCCCCATTCTGAGTCACTTCGGGGTTGACCAGAATCTAAGTCTTCTCCTAGGTTTTCATTGCAATTGTGAAGAAAGAGGCACTCTCTTCCCATTAAGCGCTGCTTAGAATGCGAATCTGAACCTGCAGGAAGTCATCATGCCTTCAGCCATGAATCATAATCATAAATCAGGACCCCACCTGAAACCTCCAGAATGAAACCAGTGCAGATGCAAAGAAGCTTAGTGAAGCAAGACAGCATTCGGGTGACAGGCTAAGAAACTCCATCCAGCCTTTCGTGAAGTTTTCCACCTTGATATTTTATTCATTTATTCAACAAATATTTACTGAAAAGCTCATTAAATGGTAGATACTATTTTAGGCTTAAAGATACATCTGTGGAGAGGCCCAGAGAGGTATTCAACAAATCACTTGCCCAGCATGCTGCCAACCAATGTTTGATCCTCAGCATTGAATGTGGAGTATCACTGAGTCCCCACCAGGAGTGACCCTGAGTGCAGGGCCAGAAATAAGTCCTGAACCCAGCTGGACGTGGGTCCCCAAAAGAAGATACACGGTGCCAGAAAGACATCTCAACCAAATATGCTTTGTGTGCAGGAGGCCCAGGTTTGGTCTTCAGCACTGGATGCTCCTCTGAGCACTGCTGGTGTGGCCCCAATCGCCCACTCAACTTTCCTCCCCACTTGCAAAAAAGGGGGAAAAAAAACCAAAAAGTGAACAAAAAGCATATGTCTTGCTCTCTCAGAATTTACTTTCTGGGTAGGAGGAGACGTAGAGAGCAAACTGACGTAAATGAAGAGGTGTTCACTGTATCACTGTCATCCCATTGTTCAGCGATTTGCTCGAGCTGGTGCCAGTAACGTCTCCATTCATCCCACTCCTGAGATTTTAGCAGCCTCTCCTTACTCGTCCTTCCCAACGATGCTGTATTGGAGGCTCTTTCAGGGTCAGGGAAATGAGACCCGTTATTGTTACCGTTTTTAGCACATCGAATATGCCACTGCCAGGCTCTGCCATGCAGGCAGGATACTCTGGGTAGCCTGCCGGGCTCTCCGAGAGGGACAGAGAATGTGTATAAGAGAATACAAGCAAGTATGTTAAAACCAAACACATGTGTGCTGCTTTAAGTACATCAGTGGACTAGACTATAAGAGTCTACTCTGGGAGCTTTGTTTTATAGAGATGTTAGTAAATGAAAACCAAACTAAAAAGAGATTGAGGTGGGAAAGGATTAATAAATAATTTCTTTATTTTTGGTTTCCAGCAAAGATATATTAGGTAAATCATAATTCAGGATCCTAGGAGGAGGATTTCCTCTGGAAATGCTCAAGGCAAACACCTCCAGGCCTGATCTCACATTTTAAAGGATCATTACAATTTTTTTTCCATGATGGATTTGGAGTCAAAATCAACTGAGTAGGGACATGGGCAAGCAGACCAGTTAGGAAGCTCTTACAGGTGAGAGAAACTGGTGGTTTGTACCAGAGTAGGAGCTGTAAAAGTGAAGAAAATTATCAGATTCAAAATAGAACAGACTCTCTAGTTTGAATGTGGAGAGTAAACAGAAGATCCTCAGGACCTAAATTCTGCTTTCCTATTAAGTCAGTCTTCATTGAATTTCCATTGTTTACAATCAAAAACGGAGTTCCTGTCTTTCCATTAAAATCTTCTCAGATGAAGCTCAGCCTCTTTCAAATAGCTTAACAAATCAAGTCCAATTCCACAACTCACATCTTTTGTTGCTATTCTTGTTTGGAGAGTAGAGAGAAGGGTCAATACCTGGTGGTGCTTCGAAGCTACTTGTGTTTCTGTACTCTAGAGACCCTGTGATGCTGAAGACTGGAGCCAGGCCTCCTGCATGCAAAGTATATATTCAGCCTGTTGAACTGTCTCTAAGATGAGAACGCCATCCAGGTCTCCCAAAGAAGAATAGAAAGAGCTATGCTTGGAATATCACGTTTCACTCAAATGAGAGAACGAATCCGGAGTTCTGACATCCGTCGACGATCAAGGATCAGGGACGCTGTCTCATTTGCCAAGGTGTCGAAAATCAGATGGGCTGGTCACGTAATGAGATTTAAAGATGACCGTTGGACTAGAGCTGTTACTGATTGGATTCCACGGGATGTCAGGAGACCGCGTGGCCGCCCACCTACCAGATGGTCAGACTTCTTCGTCAACATCATGAACGATCGGTTTGAGGCCCTTTATGTTCCCGGAGCGAACAGATGCCATTGGGCTACACTAGCACGCGACAGGGACAAATGGAGACGTTACTGGTGCCCGCTCGAGCAAATCGACGACTAACGGGAAGTTATGTGATTAAGTGATTAAGTGAACTGTCTCTCCGGCCTCCCACTCAACACCTTATCCCCATCTTTTAGGCCCTCCAACTCCAAACACATACTTTCCCAACTGCTATAGCAGACTCTTCTAGGGCAGAGGAGTTAGAACACAAAAGAAAAAATCTACTAGATTAAAAAAATAAAGAATTTGAAAGGGAACGTAATCTATCAGTCATTATAGGAACATGTAGTCGAAAGTACTAACACAACTTTCGGTTTTGCTTGACCACCAGAGTTTCATATTCTATTCTAGGATCTTCTGTAGTCTGCTAGAGTGTTACTTTCATTGTTAATTTCTTACTCACCTATCTTCAAAGCTGACTTTGTTCAGGACAAAGTCAAACTTACCTTGTATTCAAGGATCTATATCATCTCCAATCACAATATCTCTTCTATTTTCTTTTCTTTTCATTTAAGGCTTTGAGTATTCCAGTAAACCCTTTGCTTCATCTGGAAGGATACATATTCAAACATTAATTGCTCATTCTTTTGTCTTCATCTTTGCAACTTGTGGTAGTCAGAATAATAGCTCCCCCAAACTGTCTTGGTCCCCAAAACCTATGTTATTTTACACAACAAAAGAAATTTGATAGAGCCTTCTCTATCAAAGTATTCTTATGACATAATATTCTTATGATAGAGTATTCTTATGACATAAGAATATTGAAGGGCTAGAGCAATAGTACAATGGGTAGGGCACTTCGTTTGCGCACAGCCAATCAGGGTTTGATCCCTGCACCCTATATGGTCCCTGAGGACCACTAGTTATGTTCCCTGAGCACAGAACTAGGAGTAAGTCTCATATATATATGAGATGAACTGTGACTCAAATGGCTGGCGTATTGTGCTGATGCCCCGGGTTTGATTTTCAGTACCACAATGTTCCTGATCACTAAGCCCAAACGAGTGTGGCAAAGAAAAAATAATTTTGGGGGGGCCACACCTGGCGATACTCAGGGATTACTCCGGTACTGCACTTTGGAATCACTTCTGGCAATGCTGAAAGCCATATGAGATGCTGGGATCAAACCTGGGTTGACCACATGCAAGGCAAGCATTTTATCCACTTTACTATCTCTCCAGTCCCGCCCAAAAGAATCTTGAGCTGGGAAGATTATCTTGGATATCCAGGTGGGCTCAATGTAATCACAACTGATTACCAAAAAAAAAAAAAAAAGGTAAGCAGAAGAGGCAGAGGGTCAGAAGGAGAAAAGATGTGATAACAGAAGCAAAGATCTTGGTGATATACACCAATCCACAAGCCAAAGAAGATAGCAGCCTCTATGGCAGATGACTAAACAGATTTTCCTCTAGGAGAACGCAGTCTTCTGACATGTGCGTTTTAGGTCCATAAGACCTATTTTCAGACTTCTAACCTCTAGAACTGTAAAATAAATAAATCTGGTCAGTCTCTTAAACCACTGAGTCTGTAGTAATTTGTTGGAGCAACAATAGGAAAGTAATACACTCCTGCTGTGTAGCTAATCTGGAGTTTTCTTTCTTCCCTGCAGTCTGTAAAAAATCTCATCTGAAATCAAGGATGTGGCTCATCACACATGCCTTGCATATATGAGTTCCTAAATTCAATCATGATCCCCAACGAGACAAAAAAAAAATCACTGTCACTGTCCTCTTGTTGTTCATCAATTTGCTCGAGCGGGGACCAGTAACATCTCCATTGTGAGACTTGTTGTTACTGTTTTTGGCATATGGAAGCTTGCCAGGCTTTGTAGTGCAGGCGGGAAACTCTCGGTAGCTTGCTGGACTCTACGAGAGAGAGGGAGGAATCAAACCCGGGTTATCCGCGGGCAAGGCAAACGCCCTACCCGCTGTGCTACCGCTCCAGCCAGAGTAACAAATATGAGTGGATAGGGACTCTTGGGC